AAAGGGTTAAACCAGTCATCAAAGGTTTAAACCAACCATCAAATGGTTAAATGATCGCCGTCAAAGGGTTAAATCATAGTCATTAAGAGTTAAATCATCGTCATTAAGGGATAAAATCATCGTCATTAAGGGGTTAAATCAGATCAAAGGGTTAAAACATAGTCATTAAAGGATTAAAACAGTCATCAAAGGGTTAAAACATAGTCATTAAAGGGTTAAAACAGTCATCAAAGGGTTAAAACATAGTCATTAAAGGGTTAAAACAGTCATCAAAGGGTTAAATCAGCATCGTCATCAAAGGGTCGAACGGCCATGATACTCCTACAGTAAATGAAAAACATTTAAGCTTTAGAATGTAAATATGATCATGCCTGGAGAACACCTGACTAACCTCCCTTATGTACCTCCTAACTACGTTTCTACACAAAATTGATGAATAATAATATCTATCCAAGTAATGAATTCACTGCCATCAAAGGTACCATATTTATAATCCTCGATCAATGTAGAGTCTCTGAACATCTGACTAGGTAAAAGTCGAGTGACGTCCAAGCTGCTTCCTCGTGTACTGAGTGTATCGGTGGGCTGTATATGGGACAGACTTGTAATTAGAGTAAGGATATCAAACCTAAATTAAAAGACAAAAAAATAATATTGATGTTTTGATAATGATGAGAGTCAATCTAAAACTCCATATATATTATATAGGTTTGTGTTGTTTCCCGGCTTGGCATAGGTTAGGTATAGCCTATAGAGCCTTCACTGTCACAGTTCATCATTACACACTACATCACTATCATCACACACCACCACCACCATCACACACCATCACCATCACACACCATCACCATCACACACCACCACCATCACACACCATCATCATCACACACCACCACCATCACACACCACCACCATCACACACCATCATCATCACACACCACCACCATCACACACCATCACCATCACACACCATCACCATCACACACCACCACCAGTAACACCCGTCTATGCCCTCAAAACTCTGGGGTCGATGATCAGACGCCAGGTGAGGAAGTTAATTAGTGGTGGGTTCAGGTGTACGGGAGTAAATAGCAATCTCCTGTCTCCCTATAATGACTTATATTACGTCACTATAGTTAACCTTGAGAACACAGTGGAAATAATATATAACGAAAAATTTTGGAAAAGGACATCAGGAGTCATAACAGTTATTTGATGTCATATTCACTTAAAATATGTATCTATTAACAATAATGAAATAGTAAAACTGTGGAGGAAATATATACATAGACGTAGTTATACTTAAACTATTACAACTTTAAAATCCCTATCCTCTAGAAATGAAACATGCGACCCAAGACACCCGCCCCACCCCCCCCCAGTCGTGAAGAGGGGCAGCCTCCTATTGTCCCCCACACTAGTACACTGGACCAGCAAGTGTTTTATAGTCAAGGGGACCAGACACTCATAATATACTGGCTGGGACTCTCGGGTCATCAGGTGGCCGTGTGTCACTCTAGACTGGGTAATGCAGAGCGTGGCCAGAGCTGTCTCCCACCTCCATGGCATTCTGGGATACTGAACGTCCAGGGGCATATCTCTGTTGTAATCTCCCGGAGCTATTTTGAGCCAACCTTGATCTGACAGTGCTGCCAGGCATTACATACACGGCACAGGGGCTGGACGGGACACAGCCATGTCCACCTTCTCATTACTAGAAACATTTCCATGTACAGGTACTCAGCATAAACCGGCCTGATGGTCATGTCGCCCCATAAGGATGACCCATTATCATTATTTTAAGAACCAGAGGGTGGAGCAGGTTATGAGACTCTCAAGCTTGGAGGGTGTAGTGACGTCTCTAAAAATGTTAAAGCTCCTCTTCTCGAGGGTGATAATCACAGAGTCGTAAAAATGAAGTAGCAGCAGTCGGTATGACACAGCTTTGGGACAAGGCTGGAAGAATACTCCTAGTCCGTCTCCAGTGTAAAGATAGGAAGCGAGTACACAACCTGGGATGCTGTCCCCAAAACACCAGCCGCAGCAACATCTGTTCCTGATAATCAGCTTTTGTCTCAGTGAGGCGTCGACAGAAGTGCACCTTGGTGGGAGTCCAGGGAGCGACTGCCGGAAACTTCACTGGACAAATTGGAGTGTGAGGGAGGCGGTGATTACACAGCACCAAGTGACGTCAGCAAGACACCTTGGACGGTTAACATGAACAGGGAAGTAATCCTCACCTAAACACCGCAGTGAAGATAAGATTAAGCAAAGGGGATAAATGGTTGATAAGATAACGGATACTAAAAAAAATAATTAAGGAGAAGAAATGATGGAAAAAGCCAATGAAAATAAAAATACATAGAAGAAACCCAACTGAAAGACAACAAAATACACAGCACTAGTCTGGTAATTTAGGTATAGTGACGTAAGAAGGAAATTCCCATAACAACCTGAGGGGTCTTCAATAACATAACATAACACCATCCTACAAACCCGAGTCAATACTACCCGATGATAGACGACTGGACAAACACGAGGCAGACTAAGATAAAAACATACACATCCTCTCCAATACTAGCATCATGGCAGTCAACGAGAGGTAGTCAGTCCACATGACCCTGGCTCGCCTCACACGGTAAAAAAAAAATGACGACGTGTAAAATAAAGAAAATATTCCATTTACTAATGAGTTCACACTGAGGATGTTACACGAAGGTATTAATGTGATTGAATGTCAGTAAATGAAGAGAGAAAATGTGTTATGTTTGTGCTCTCTGTTGCAGCCACCGTGCAACATGGCAGGGATGACGGGGCTTTGCAATATTGAAGAGAAAAATGATCTTATGGAATTAAAGACAAAATCAGCTTACGATACTGACGTTTTATATAACCCCCAGTAACAGCCAACAGCATACTCACAACTTAAGCATCTATCTACAACACATTCACAACCCCAGCATCTGCCTACAATCGTCACAACCCCAACCATAGCCTATAACATTCACAATCTCAGTATCACCAAAAAGAAACATTACCACCTCGTCACCACCTAACGACTCCCCCCTCCCTCCCTTGGAAAATGACAAATTATCCCCCGCTCGTTAACTGACCCCCTGCGAGACACCCACCACTCACCAGCTGCTGCGAGGGATGGATCGAGTACCACCTGTCTCGGTAGGGTGGAGGGTGTGGGTGGATAGTGTGGAGGGTGTGGGTGGATAGTGTGGAGGGTGTGGGTGGATAGTGAGGAGGGTGTGGGTGGATAGTGAGGAGGGTGTGGGTAGATAGTGAGGAGGGTGTGGGTGGATAGTGAGGAGGGGTAATGGGTGGATGAATGTGGAGGTGTGGAGTGGATAGTGTGGAGTGTGGGTGGATAGTGTGGAGGGTGTGGTGGATGGTGTGGAGGTGTGGGTGGATGGTGTGGAGGTGTGGGTGGATGGTGTGGAGGGTGTGGGTGGATGGTGTGGAGGGTGTGGGTGGATGGTGAGGAGGGTGTGGGTGGATGGTGAAGAGGGGTGTGGGTGAATGGTGAGGAGGGGGTGTGGGTGGATAGTGCAGGGTGTGGGTTGGTGGGGGTATGGGTGTGTGGGGTGGACGGTGTGGGTGGATGGGTTGCAGGGGTGTGGGTGAATTAGGTGCAGGGTGTGGGTGGGTAAGGTGCAGGGTGTGGGTGGGTAAGGTGCAGGGTGTGGGTGGGTAAGGTGTATCAGCATCTTACCATGAACTAAACGTGGCATAAAGCAATCAACTCACTTATTAAAACCCTCACCGTATGTAAACTAATGATTACATAAGTACAGTTGGAAAGCCAGGTGCACGGAGCTCCATTAACGACAGGTGTGGGAGAGATGAACAGGTTTAGAGTGGCTGGCAGCGGTGAGGCGTCCGGATGTGTTAAGTACTGACTGTGTGTGGTGGTGGTGACTGTGTGTGTGTGGTGGTGACTGTGTGTGTGGTGGTGACTGTGTGTGTGGTGATGACTGTGTGTGTGGTGGTGACTGTGTGTGTGGTGGTGATTGTGTGTGTGGTGATGACTGTTAAATGTAAGGGACCATAAGTGACCTGTTAAGTGACGTAGACCAAAAGTGACCTGTTAAGTGCAGGGAACACCATTTTCCCCAATTTTCTGTAATGGGCATCGCTTAACAAACATCAAACTCCATAAAAGTTCATTGGTTTTTTTTTTTGGAATATTGGCGAAATCACTTCTCCCTTTCTTTCTTTTTTTTCATGTTTTTTTTTTGTGTGTGTAAAAAAAATACAAGTTTCCACCTGAAATGTGAATCGTGGCCCATAGCGGTGTGTTTCCCTTCCGGTGAGCTGTAACGACTCACTACCTCCAGTAGCCATCAGTGAGAGAACACGAGGAAGTTACCATGCGAGAGTGTCATTACGAGTGTGTGTGTGTGTGTGTGAGGACCAGTTACCACCACCTGGGTAATGAGTGAGGTCTTCACACCAATACTCGCCTCGCTTCACTAAACTCTCCCCCCCCACACACACACACACACGAAACACAGCCCCGTAATGGTGAAATAAATACCGCCTGAATGGAATAAGAAAATAATTGGGTTTCGTAATGCATTCCCAGATCTTATACCAGTAAGTGAGAAAAGGCGGGAAAGAGTTCAATGTTTATTCATTTTTCGCGGCAAAACCAAAGGGGAAAAAAAGGTAATGTAAACAAAGAATTAATATTATGGGCCATTGTTGTTATAGTGATGATGCTATATGTAAATGTTCACTGACAGGTAATAAAACTCTCCACTATTGATTACTTTGGTCACTCTTACGACGACGTGAACTTAATATTAAAATTCCCACCTGTACTTACTTTACGAGGTACTTAACCTGACACCTGTGGGTTACCAATTATCTAAGGTTCGTATGTTGAAATTTCCTCGTAACTGAGATATAAACACCCTCGCTTATCTAATTACACTCAAACAACAATAATCAAAGTTGAAAATGGCATAAAAATAATACTGAGACTTTACCTTATCTGGATGCATTTCAGGACAAAATCAGTGTTTAAAATCTTCGTAAATCTGGAGATATTTGTTGTTGTGGTGGTGGTGGTGTCGGTAGAGGGGTTACGTCACCAGCAGCAGTAGTCGTAGTAACAGGGGTCAACACGCTCACACTTACCTGCAATAAAAACCAATACCACAGTCACACTCGACAGCTCAGGTATGGCACAATATAACAGGTGAGTGAGTCTTAGCACCTCTTAAAAAAAGGTGTTAATACCCGCTTAGTTTATCGTAATGTTTACTTAGGGTATACACCAGGTGGTTTTGTAAGTTAGGTTAGGTTAGGTTAGGTAAGAGTTGCTTACATTTAGAATGGGTTAGGTGAGGTAATATTTGGGTGAATTAACAAAGTGAGTTTAATTGAGGCTTGAGTACATTAACCTAACTACTACTACTACTACTACTACTACTACTACTATCATCACTATGAAAACAATGACTCTCCCTCTACCTCTCTCCAGCCTCCACCTCAAGGAATTAGTACAATCATCACGAGTCAACCATTACCACCAGACGATGAAGGAATCAAGGTAGGGAAGGAGGAGGAGGAGGAGGAAGGAAGGGAGAGAAGAGGAGGAGGGGGTGGGAGGGGGGGGTAGGGAGAAGGCTCTTAAGGGGTAATAATTAAGTGATCAGAGATATAACACAGGAAGAGAGATGGGAGGTGAAGTAGTATCTAGTTGAGTCTCCCCTTCCACATTCTTCATTTTTTCTTGTGGCTTCCTCTCGTTTCCTAAGACTTAAAGATAGTTCAATTTTTTCCCAGTTTCCCAATGTTTCGTCCCTAATTACAACTCGCAATCCTCAGTAAGTCATCAACTTAACATGCATGGTGGTGATGGTGGTAGTGGTGATGGTGGCAGTGGTGATGGTGTGTGGTGAGGGTAATGGTGGAGATCGTAGTAGTGGTGGTGGTGGTGGTGGTGGTATTGATGATCGTAGTGGTGGTGTTGGTGATCGTGGTGGTGGTGGTGGTGGTGACGGTGGTAGTGGTATTGGTAATTGTGGTAGTGGTGTTGGTGATCGTGTTGGTGGTGGTGGTGGTGGTGGCCCGGGGTCGTCTTGCAACAGGTGGGCGGCCCCGGTAGCTACCCTTCAACACACTCGCCTTTGTTCTCCTGTCAGAGCCTCTCCCGATAACCAGTCCTTGAATTTCTCGGAGCTGCGTATGCAAAACTTTTCCTCCTCTACCTGGTGGCGTGAGCTTGAATCCGACTTGTTTTTAATGAAGCTAAGCTGGAGACGTGAGAATCCATGTAGCTGTTTCAATTTATAAGCTTACTGGTGACGTGAGAATGTATCCAGCTGTCCCCATTAAGCTAATTGGAGACGGAGAATGCATCCTATCTGCCTCTACTAAGCTAACTGTACACCTGAGGATAAATCTTCATTACGTCAACTAGAGAAGTGAGAAGGAGTTTAAATGTCTCACTTAAGCTACGGCACAAATATGGTCTCTAAAATGACTTCAGAACAGCATTGAGGCTGTACCATTACCCGGTGTTGTTGTCTTCCGTCCATAAGGTGTCAAAGTGAATCATGAATCAGTGTGAAGATTCCGGGCGCTGGTGACGTGATGTTCCCGGTATATCCAAACATAAAAGACAAGACCTTAAACTTCCCTTCCTACCTACTAATGACGACAGAATACACCTTAATAAACTCATTTAATATACAACATAAATAAATACCTTGGGAACTTCGTGTTTTCTTCTTTCCTTGTGGTTATCAGCATATACCTGGATCACGCGCAACTACAGTGATTTACTTGCATATATATATATATCCTTATGGTCAGAAAATATCAACACGGGAATATTTCATAACCCCGGGATAAGCAACATGGCCACTGTCCCCCTCGTGGTTGTTAAATACGGGTCAGGTTCCTATTTTACGAGGCGTTGTGATAGTGAGGGTAATTAGCGAGGGTAATTAGAGAGGGTCATTTGGTAGTGCTGAGAGGACGAACGAGTGATGGGGGGGTGGGGGGGGGGAGGGGCAGTTAGTCACTATGAGTTGACGGATTTATTGCCGTGTTATGAAGTCCTGGAGAAGACAAGAGTTAGTGACGTGACGTGTGTTTCTGATGGTGAGCTGCCCTGGGTGTGTCTCGCTACCACAATCTACCACCACCCACACCCATCACAACACCTACCACCATCTGCATCACCTACCACCATCCACAAAATCGATCCACCATCACAACATCTACCACCATCCAGTACCATAACACCTACCACCATCTACCACAACACCTACCACCATCCACCACAACACCTACCACCATCCACCACAACACCTACCACCATCTACCACAACACCTACCACCATCCACCATAACACCTACCACCATCTACCACAACACCTACCACCATCTACCACAACACCTACCACCATCCACCATAACACCTACCACCATCTACCACAACACCTACCACCATCCACCATAACACCTACCACCATC